TTTCTTACCTTGAATTTTTTTCCCATTTTTTCTTATATATCTTTCTCCCCATATTGTAGGCAATGGAGCTCCAGCGCTGGAAAATGGAAGAACAAAAAAGGCTAGAAGAGGCCCGGCTAGTGGAAGAAGCCGCACTTGCCCTAGCAGAGAAAGAAAAAGCCAAGTCGAAAGCGGCCCTCGAGCATGCTGAGGCCGCCCAGAGGCTAGCCGAGCTGGAAGCCCAGAAGAGGATCAATGCAGAAATGAAAGCCCTAAAAGAAGCAGAAGAGAATAATAGGATGCTCGGTATAGAAGGTACACAATCGAGGAGATTGAAGTGGCTACCGAATACTTTGCGCGGTCGAGAAAGATCGGTGAGGGAGGCTATGGCCCTGTCTACAAGTGCTACCTGGACCATACGCCTGTAGCGGTCAAGGTCCTGCGACCTGACGCAACTCAGGGGAGATCTCAATTTCAGCAAGAGGTACTTCTAATGTGGTTTGGCAAAAAAAAAAAAAAAAAAGAAAAAAAAAAAAAAAAAAACTGGATTTTGTTTGTGATAAAATCATTGATGTAAAGACTGGATTTTTATTATGGGGATACGGAGATTGCAGGAGTGATTTAAATGGTCCTTGATGGATAATTAGTAACCATCTTGATACTCATACACTCACAAGTCACATGTAGGTCATCACTGCTATGTTTTGGTAAAACTAGCTGATAAGCTACTAGCTTATCAGTAATTTTCGAGCTTATATGTTATAGCTTATGACTTACAGCTGAAAAGCTAGCTTATATGATAAAAGTGTTTGGTAAAATTTCAACGAGTTTATCTGAAAAGCTACTTAAAGAAGCTTATAAAATAAGCTCAAGCTTTTTAAAAAAGCTCGATCTACCAAACGAAGTTTGTTTGAATGAAAAATGATAGATAGCCAACCTAATGTACAACTAGGTTGACAACACAAGTGAAAATATCCACTTGTGTATTTTTTAATTTTTATTTTTGTAGATGTTTTTTACTTGTGTTGTCAACCTAGTTGTACACTAGGTTGGCAATGTAGCATTTCTCTATTTGAATACAGGAAGCTTATAAGCTAACCAAATAAGCTATAAGCCAGTTTATTTGTCTACCAACATATAGAAGGTACCTAAGTGCATCTCTTTGATATACAAGGATCTAAATCTAGTTTCTAAATAACAACAACAGGTAGAGGTTTTGAGCTGCATACGGCACCCAAACATGGTCCTCCTCCTGGGAGCCTGCCCCGAGTACGGCTGCCCCGTCTACGAATACATGTCCAACGGCAGCCTCGAGGACCGTCTCTTCATGCGCGCCTACACCCCTCCTCTTTCCTGGCAGCACCGTTTTCGAATCGCGGCCGAAATCGGCACTGGCCTCCTCTTCCTCCACCATGCCAAGCCGGAGCCCCTCGTCCACCGAGACCTAAAGCCCGCCAACATCCTCCTCGACCGAAACTACGTCAGCAAGATCAGTGACGTCTGCCTCGCCAGACTCGTTCCCCCCTCCGTGGCCGACACTGTCACCCAGTACCGCATGACGTCGACAGCTGGCACATTCTGCTACATCGACCCTGAGTACCAGCAGACGGGCATGCTTGGGGTCAAATCCGACATTTACTCACTTGGCGTTATCTTTCTGCAGATTCTCACGGGCAAGTCGCCCATGGGTCTTACTCACCATATTGAGCTGGCTGTCGAGCATGGCAAATTCAGGGAGATGTTTGATCCGAATGTGGCTGACTGGCCGCTCGAAGAGGCACTTGTGCTTGCCAGGCTGGCGCTACAGTGCGCGGAGCTGAGGAGGAAAGACAGGCCTGACCTTGGGAAAGTAGTGCTCCCACAACTGAACAAGCTGAGGGAAGTTGCGGAGGATTCGATGTCGAATGTGGTGCCGTATATGGGAAACCCATCACCGAGAGACAGTCAGGTCTCCTTGTCCAAAGTAAGTCTTGTCAGCCCATATTTATTTATTATTTTTTTTCCCTTGTCGGAAACTGATTTTTTTTTTTTTTGTTTTTTTTTTTTAATTAGGCTAGATTTTGTATATAATGTTCTTCCTGTGGACATAAGACCTTATATCTGCCACAGTTTTCCTGTATACATTTGAAAGAATAACTTGGCATATTTTGTTACCCGTATGGAATCAGATAATCACCGGAAAACGTGTTTGCAGGATGATTTGAGTTTTCCAGCATCACCATCCACAGAGTCAAGCATGGGGACCTGATGTGCAGGTAGAGAGAATTGATTGAGAAAAATAGTTCTGGCTGTACACAAAAAGAAGAAATCAATATATTTTTTTTGGTTGTTTAACTGTTAATAGAAAGCAACTGATTCTCCTTCTAATTTAGTTTTATGTTCTTTGATCTAAACATCTTTAGGCTCTGAAAAATGGTGGTGCATGTTTTGTGTGGGATTTTGTATCTTCCGCCCTGATAGATAGTCTGAAATTTGAACCAATGAACAAGGCTTTTATCTTCTTTTTTTTTAACGATAGATTTTATTAATAAAAATACATATTTACAAGCGGGTCAAGCGGATAACTAGCTGACTGAAGCTAAATTAAAAGAGAGGCCTATGAAAACGCTTGCAATCTAGAAACTATAACATTAAATACACCCTCTACAAACAAAGTACAAGTTGTAATCTAAGGGCTTGATTGTTTATGGAATAATTTATTCAACTTTATTTCATGCTCAAAATCTAACTTAACTTTAACTCAATCTCACTATTTTTAATATTATTTATAATGGAATAAAATATAAACCAATCATTCTTACATATCACATCAACTTTAATTCACTATTCATCCACTCACACAATTTTAACTACATATTATTTTCAATCATTTTTAATCATTTATCTCCTACTTTTACATCAAATCAATTTTAATCATTTTATTTTAAATATTATTATAATTCATTCTTAAAATTCCACTAAAAACTAACTATACCACATTTTTTAAAATTAACTATAGTTAACCAAAATAATTCATTTTGAACAAATTATTTCATAAACTATCAAGCCCTAGACTGTCACAAGTGAAGAATTTTAACTGCAAAAGGGAGAATAAAGAAACTACTTCTAATACAAGCACAAACAAACACCAACAAAAACTAAACACACTAAAACTAGAATACCCTCTCCACAATCGGCAAGCCAAAATAGTAAGTATGACTATAATTGGATTATAAAAATAAATAATCGTAAAAATTGATTACATAAATGTAACTATGGTAAAATATTACGATAATTTTGTGTTAATTCGATAATTCTTTATATATCAAATGACTAGAATTGGAATTATTATAATTAAATTTAGAAGAAAAATTTTGATAACAAAGATTTAAAATTAAAAAAAAAATAAAATATAGACAATGAATTCACGCAAATCTTGGTATAACAATCTTAAAGTGACTTATA